CTAATCCTCATACTAAAGAGCCTGCAAGCTTAGCAGAATGACTACAAAGCCACCTGGGTTCAAAAATGTGGTCTGTGCAGAAACCGGTTTGGCTCAGTGGATAGAGCATCGGCCTGCGGACTGACGGGTCTCAGGTTCTACTCTGGTCAAGGGCATGTGCCTTGGTTGCGGGCACATCCCCAGTAGGGGGTGTGCAAGAGGCAGCTGATTGATGTTTCTCTCTCATTGATGTTTCTAACTCTCTATCCCTCTTCCTTCCTCTCTGTAAAGAATCAAATATATATATATATATATATATATATATATATATATATATATATAATATTTTTAAAAATGTATTTTATTGCGTTTTTACAGAGAGGAAGAGGGAGGAATAGAGAGTCAGAACTATCGATGAGAGAGACATCAACCAGCTGCCTCCTGCACACCCCCACTGGAGATGTGCCTGCAACCAAGGCACATGGCCTGACTGGAATGGAACCTGGGACCCTTCAGTCCGCTGGCCGATGCTCTATCCACTGAGCCAAACCGGTTTCAGCTAAATATATATATATATATATATATATATATATATATATATATATATATATATATATATATATTTAAATGCAGTCTGCCATTTATTCCCCATGTGGCTTTGTTTAAGTGACCTAATCTCTGAGTCTCTCTTTCCTTGTTTATAAAATGGGAGGAATAATAGTATCTGTCTTATATAGATGTTCGATTATTTAAAGAATGTTGACCATGCCTGGCACAAAGTAAACGCTAGCTAGTCGCTATCCCTGTTAGCTGTCCGCCCTCTGCACCAGGCTCTTGGCAGTGAGGACTAAGTACCTCTTGTCTGCATCCGCAGCGCCTGGAGCAAAATCAGCGCTGCAACCAAGGCGAACCAGAACTTTAATGCAAGTGAAACGTTGAAACCCGAGGAAGTGGGTTTCCAAGTGAGGATGGGGGGGGGGGGGGGGGAGAGGGGGAGAGGACGAACCGGGAAGGAAAGTTGAGCGAGGCCCGAGGGCTGGGAGTTCTGGGCGTGGGAACCGAACCGGAGCTCAGCGGCGAGGGGCGCGGCTTCCCGGCCGGCCAGCGGCGAGCAGGTGGGGCCCCGCCGGAGGCGGAGCGGGAGGAAGGGGTGTGGCTGCTGTAGCGGTCGCCTTTGCCAGCCCCGCAGGGAACCGGCTTCGGAGCAGCAGCGCGGGACGCACACCTGGCTCACCGAACTCCCGCCCGGGCCGCTTCACGGTGAGTCCAGCCTCCTCCCCGCGCCCAGCGCCGCGCGGTCCTGGGCGCAGCTAACGTGGCGCCTTCGCTGCAAACCAACCGGGCAGCGCGGGTGCGGGGTCCGACGGGCCTCAGACGCACAGAGTCAAGATCCCAAAGTGCCGCGCTCTGGGAGGGCCACCCAGCTAGGGTCACCCCGGGGCAAGCTGACACCCCGCAGCCCCAGGCCCTGCACCTTTCCCTTTTCATCACAGCTAACGGAGTAGGTTGCCAGTTCAACCTTCCCAGACCCAAAGGTCTTGGGACAGAAAAGCAAGGCGTTGGGAGGGTTCTATGGGTCCAGATGCCTGGGGAAGGGAGACCCTGGCTCCAACCTCTGTACGAATTACTCGGAACCGCACCCATCTTTGTGAGCATGCTGTCCTCTTCACAGGCGCAATTTATTTTGTTTTACTTATTTTTTATTTTTTTTTAGGAGGTAGGAAAGTGTGTTTAGATATTGGGCGTTGGGAGTCCGAGAAGTTTGCTTAAATTTAAGAAGTTTTCTTAATCAGGCTCATCGTTTCCTTACATTGCAACAGAACTCCATTCCCTGGATGTGACTCATTCTCCTGGCATTTGGCATTGGAGCCGGCAGGTGGGGGATGTGGGCACCTGATTGCAAATGACCGCACCTATGGAGGAAGCTGTGGCTGGGAGGTTCTGGGTGGCTGGAGGCCCCTCTGGCTGCAGATAAGAAGTTGCACCACCAAAGCTAAATTCTTTCCAGGGATTTCTGATCACAGACAGCAAGACTTTGCCCTCATATACAACTTTTTAAAATCAACATCATAAAAAAAAAAAAAAGTAACTTACAGCTCTCATGAAGGCAGAAAACTTCAAATGGACAAAAAGGGAACTTAAAGATGTAAAGGAAATCAGAATCTTGTTCCCAGAGCCACGAGGCTGTGTAGGGAAATCTGTTAAGAAAGAGGGATGCAGGCCCTATCTGGTTTGGCTCAGTGGATAGAGCGTCAGCCTAGGAACTCAAGGTTCCCAGGTTCAATTACAATCTAAGGCATGTACCTTGGTTGTGGGCACATACCCATTATGGAGTGTGCAGGAGGCAGCTGATCGAAGTTTCTCTCTCATTGATATTTCTAACTCTCTATCCCTCTCCCTTCCTCTCTATAAAAAATCAATAAAATTTATTTATTAAAAAAAAAAAGGAAAGCAGGGATGCAGGAGGAAGTAAAAGGAAATGATGTCACTGCTTTAATGCTTTCAGAAGAAGCTATTTAAAGTTCTATTGTTAAGCTGTATGACCTCCACTGTGGAGTAATTCTTTTTTCTTAAAGCATAAGTCAATAATAATTATTAATACTTTAGAAATGATACTGGATCAACATATATTGAGTATCAGCATTGACCATGTCTGGAACAGCCACTTGGGTAAGTCAGAAGCATGTGGTTAAGGTTATGTCTTTGGAGGATGACTGAATTCAGTCCCTATGTGACCGGACAACCAAGCGGTCTGGGCTGTCTGTCACTACTTGAGCCACTTAAGTGGAAACAGGGTTAAATCATATATGAGCGTTAATTCCAATACTGCAGGCAGTATGGGAGAGCAGCAGGTCACCCACAAAACTCTGCCTCTCCCCATAATCAGCTGCTTATGTTGGGTAGAAGAACAGAGATTACATGAGAAAGTAAGAATTTCAGACATGGAAAGTAGGCATGGTATCATCAATACAGATTATAATGTGGGCTTGGCGGGGCACAGAGGGTAGGTGCCTCCGGATGCCCTGGGCCGGGGCCCCGCAAAGGGCAGGCGCCTCTGGGATTAGATTATTTCAGCCAGGAGGTAGTAAATCTTCCCCTTATGATGGGCAGTTCTCAGGAAGGAAGGATGGACTGCATGCCGATGTTAGCTCCCATGTCCCAGGGCATACAGCTCTCAGCCAGGTTAGAATGTACTTTCTCTAATCAGAATAGAACCATCAGGGCTAACAGAGCATGCTTAATATTTCTTGTACTTGTGGCTAGACCCCAATATTCTACTTCTGTCCCTAATAACTACTCATTAGCTGAATGACTGTTATTTTACTTCTCTGTGCCCCACCTTCTTCATATGCATAGTGGAAATGATATTAATGATACTTAGTGCCCTAGATTATTGTGAGGCTTATATTAAATCATTCATTCATTCAATGAGTATTTTTTATATTGCCTTGTATGCCCCAGTGAGCAAACGTGAAAAAAATGTCTAGCTTTACAAAATCAACCTTTTAGTGCTTTTTATATTATCTGGAACATAGTAAGGACTCAAAAGCTAGCTGATATGATAACACATGTTATTTTATTCAATACCAGCTACAGCCTTCCTCTCCCTTTTTTATAGATAAGGAAACGGAGGGTCAAATAAATTGTGTCTAGCTTTAAGAGGTAAAACCAAAACTAGTGAAACCTTGTATCCACTATATAGATAGAGGAATATACACTGAGTGGCCAGATTATTATGATCTCTGAATGCATAATAATCTGGCCACTCAGTGTATATGTTAGAGGCCTGGTGCATGAATTCTGTGGTCCAGCCAGCCTGGCCAGGGGGAGGGAACATGGGCTGTTGGCCAGCCTGCCTACTGGTCAAACTCCTAGTTGAGGGGACAATTTGCATATTAGCCTTTTATTATATATGATATACACTGATTGGCCAGATTATTATGCGTTCAGAGATCATAATAATCTGGCTACTCAGTGTGTGTGTGTGTTTCAGAGGCCTGATGCACAAAATTCATGCAGGAGTAGGCCTTCCTTCTACTTGCTTCCTTCCACTTTCGGCTTCCCTCTGGCACCCGGGACCAGGCTTCCCTTGCAGCCCTGGCTTTTGCCCAGAAGGTCTTCCGGAAGGACATCCGGTCTAATTAGCATATTAAGCTTTTATTATTATAGAGGTGTTAGACCCTGTAACTAGAGGGCCAATCTCCCTCCGCTACAGAGAGAGAGAGAGAGCCTGAAAAAATCAGGGCTAAATATTTGCAGGGACTAATGGTGTAATTTCCTGTCGAACCTTGGTATTTTTAGAATGTTTTGTTCCAAGGATGGGTGGGAGCAACTACCATTTCTAAGTCAACCCCTGGAGATAGGCCAGCATGTCTGAATAATGTTGACGTATGTGTTCCCAGCTGAGGCTCCCGAAAGAGCTGCCCTTTTCACCCCTGCATCAGCCCGAGGACCGGACTGCCTCCCAAGAGCAGGCAGGTCTGTTTGTAACTGTAGGCTTGGAGCCCTGTAAAGTGTAAATGCACATTTCACAATCAAACACAAGGAATCAAATGGAAGCCAAGTAAAATTCATGTTGATGGGGGACAATTTCCTGGGTTTTTGTTGTTTCCTAGATGGTAGTCTGTCTTGATTAAAAGAAGTCAGCAAAGTAGTTCTACTGGATTTTAAATGAGTCAAAAATTGGCTTTCTAGGAAACATGTGTAAACCCCTTAAACCTGAGCGGTTTTTGTTTTGTTTTTTTCTTTTTCTCTTTTTGAGTCCTTCACTGGTCTAGCTCTGCCTTTTGTAGAAGGTAGGCACTGAGTAAACATTTGTTTAGCAAATGGGCTACTTGATGTTAAAGACACATTCTCTTCTCCAGAGGGTTTCTCTTTGAACATGGGTTCTGCTTTCTGGATTAAAGATTGAGAGTTGGTGAATTTATTGTGTTTGGAATCCTAGGCTTATTCCATTTAGCAATTTTTTTTTTCTTTTAATAGGTTAGTGTGATCTGAACTCAAGGCAAAGGTGGGATAGCATGGCATCTCTCTGGGTAAGTAAAAATCAAGTCTTCCTAACACAATAATCTACCTGAGTCCAATCAAAATACAAACATATATATATATGAAACATATATATATATATATATATATATATATATATATATATAAAAGAAAGTTGATTAAAAAAAAAAGTTCATCTGAAAAATATTAACATGCCAAAAAAGCTCATGGATGTCCAAAAATAATACTGTATTGTACAGGTATGTAATTAAAATAATTTATGATGATACCAAAGCAGAGAGGTCAATAGCAGAGAATTTATTTAGTATATGATTTGGGAACTTACTAAATGACAAAGATGATATTTCATAGCAGAGAGGAAAAGATGGCTTATTCAATAAATTATGCTAGGAAAACTTCTAGCCATTTAGGAAAAAAGTAAATCTATATTCTGTCTCCCTTCTTACATTGAAATAAAAATATTGAAATGAAAGAGATGGGATATGAATAAAATTTAAAAATAATCTTGGAGTGGGGAAGGTACTATCACTGTGGCATAAGTTAAAAGTCTGAAAGAAAAGTATTGTTCTACTTAATATATATAAATTTATAATTTTTGACAGCAAACAATACTGTTAATAGTCAGAAGATAACCCATAGCGGGAAAACATTTGCAGCACATCAGACAAAAGACTTATTTCCTTAACATATAAGTAACTTCAATAAATTATTTGAAAAAAGAACTCCATGGAAAAATTTGCAAGGGACATGAAAAGAAATTATAAGTGTTCAATAAACATATGAAAACATGATACACCATACTGAAAATTAAAGAAAGGTAAACAACACAATGAGAAATCATTTTCTACCTAAAAAATTGGTAAAGGTGAAGAAAATGTAGCAAGACCAATGCTTCAGCGGATTTGGACAAGACAGGTCTTCTCATCCTCTGCTCCTGGGAGAAGGAATTTGGCACCCTTGGGGGTGTTATTTTGGCAATATCTGTCAATGTTTCAATGCACACATCATTTAACCCTGTAATTTCACTTCTGGGTATTTATCATGTATCTAGATATACTGACCTAGGATATTCATTTCTATTAAAGAAAATATACAGGCAGCATAAATGGCCACCTATGGGTATGAAATTAGTAAATTACTCATTTGTAATTTAGAGCCATTTTTATGTGACCATTAAAATGAAAAGGGGGAAAATTGGTCAGTTTTATATATACTGACATAAGAAAATGTCAAAAGCTATACTAACCAATAAATACAATCAAGTTACAGAATAACAAGTGCAAAGTGACTATATATATAATATATATACTGTATCACATGAAAACTTTGTGAAAAGATAGAACTATGAACAAGGATACTTTTTTAATGCATCACCTCATCACATTCTATGCTTTGATTGTTTTCAACAATAAACATACATTATAATTTATAAGTAGAGGGCAGAGTAGGCTTAAAGAATAGCTTGTAGGGAGCAGTGACCAGCTTTTATATGAGCAGTGTCAGGGGAAGGGATGTGTTATAAAGCCCCCAATATCACTGGCCAAGAGGCTGACCTCCCCTCTCTCCAGGTCTGAAATCCCTGCTACTATTATGGATATCTAGTAGAATCAGATGGGGGGGGGGATTTTTCTCCAAAAAGCTGGTATTTAAAATAAAATAAAATATTTCCCTCTAGCCCTTATCCATTAGTAAACAGATATGGAGTTAATTGGTCAGACTGTCTGGTTAATACTGTCAGAGTCTTGGAACATTTTTTAACAGCTGGGAGAGACTCAGGAGAGTATGAGAGAGGGTACATTAGTCTCCTGTTTTAACACCCATTCATTACATCACAGTTTTACATGTTAGAATCCCAAAATGGGTCTCATGGCACTAAAATGAAGCAGTTGGCAGGGCTGTGTTTCTTTCTGAAGATTTCAGGAAGAATCCACCTCTGGACTCATTTAGGTTGTTGGCCAAATGTAGTTCCTTGCAGTTGAGGATCCTGGTTTTCTTGCCAGGCCTTGTGTGTGGCCGCTACAGCTCAGAATAGCAACTGTGCATCAGTCCTCCTGCATGCAATTTGTTGATCTTCCCTCTGGGGCTTCTCTCTTCTACCTTCCTTTTCTCCCCCCAGCTGGAGGCAGTTCTCTGCTTTTAAAGCTCAAGTGACTCATTGGGCTCACCCAGATAATCCAGGATAGTTTCCTGATGTTGAGGTCTGGAACCTTCATCACATTGACAAAGTCCCGTTTGTAATGCAACATAACACATTTACAGGGCCCAAGGATTCCGGGAAGGACATTTTAGAAGGAAGCTGTTATTCTGTCTTTACTCCGTGCCTGCATATGCAAATTGACCAACCACATTCGTTGGGTTAATTTGCATACCCGCTCCTGATTGGCTTGTGGGTATTGGGAAGGTATGGTCGATTTGCATATTTCTCTTTTATTAGTGTAAATATCCAAAGTAGTCAAATTTGTGGAGAAAGGTTAGAATTGTGGTTGCTCAGGTTTGGGAGGGGGAATAGGAGAGTCATTGCCTTATGAGTACTGTTTCTAGGTCCCACACTGAACAGTTTCACCTCTGCCAAACTATGCACTTCAAAAAGGTCAATTTTATGTTGTTGTTTTTACCACAATAAAAAAACACAACCTTCTGACTTGTATACATACTCGTACCACATCTGTTCCCTTGTTCCCTCTTACACACAAAAGCACATAAACACAAACACAAATGAGCTATCCAGTCAGTGTGTTTCTACAAACTGTAGGTTTGGGTTACCAGTGTATGGTGAGTTCACTGGCATAATCTGATCAAGAGAGAAGACTTCAGTTTCAATTTCAGTCTGAAAGAACGATTGGTTTGCTAGGCCTGGATAGTCTCTCCAGGGGTTTTGCAATCTCCCATTGTTTCAGATGAGCAAACCGACTATGCTGCAGTACTGTTTCCTGTTGGGAAACTCTGTTCAGGCTTGTGTTGTACTACTTTGATGAAAGGACTTGATGGCGTAGTAGTTTATACTCTTTGATTTCTTGTGCCTTGGTCGCTTGTCATATATTGCCTTTAGGTCCATAGCAAGCACTCAGGCAACTCACAATTAAAATGTCTTGGAACGTGACTTTTTTATTAAAATATGTAGTAGTATTTTTTTTTTACATGCACCTTCTACAATGCTGGCTTTCTCATTCAAATATTCTGAGCTCTTACCTCCTTGGTCAATTCCTAAATTACTTTTGCAGAATAATGAATGTAATTACTCTTTGTTTGAACCCTCACATTAGTATTTTTATTATGGAACTAAAATACTTCTAAATTAACTCATAATCATTGTAATTATCATGAACCTTTATAACATCCTAACTTGTTATAGCTTCTTCCTTCCCCATTTCAGACTCTAATTTGCAGAATGAGGACATAGAACACAGAGACTCTAGACCCAAGGGATAAAATCAGTTTTACACAAAAATAACTTCCCATAAATATGATGCCTACTAACTTTGTTTTGAAAGAGTAGTTAAACAATTAAAGCAGCAAGTACCTGGTGTAATGAGCTCTGAAAGCAGGATGAAGACAGTAAAGCCACAGTCCCAGTTCTCCTTTTCATAACTGTCTACTTGGCTAAAAGGCAGACTCTTGACTATAATGTGGAGCAAAATACCTAGTCCCTCACTGTCAGTCTCCTCATCTGTAAATGAGTGTACTAATACCGTGTTTCCCCGAAAATAAGACATCCTCCAAAAATAAGACCTAGTGCATGGAAAGATAAGACATGCCCTGAAAATAAGACCTAGTGCAACTTTGGGAGAAAAAATTAATATAAGACACTGTCTTATTTTCGGGGAAACAGGGTAGTACCTATATTATCTGGTGTTTGTAAGCATTAAATCAGTTATAGAAAATGTATTAATAGTGCCTGGCATAGAGTGAGCACTCAGTAAATATTATAATCATTCTTTTCAATATATTAATTTTTTTCTAAAAACATAATTTTTGCTAATTAATATCCTTGCAACTGTACTAGGAAAGGAGAGTCTGCTTATTTCCTGGGCCTGAATTTTTTTCCAAATCAACAGTATTCCTCCTTCCCCATTGGAGTGATTTCTCTGAGCTACCTGCAACAGATGGCTTTTCCCCAGGAGAATCTTTTGACCACTCCTGTTTTCAATATTTTCAATATTTTAAGACTTTTTTGTTTTAGAGCAATTTTTGGTTCACAACAAAATTGAAAGGAAGGTACAGAGATTTCCCATATACCCCCAGTCCCACACATCCACAGCCTCCCCCCATATCAATATTGCCCACCAGAGTGGTTCATTTCTTATCATTGATGAATCTACCTTGACACATCATTATCACTCACAGTCCATAGTTCAGCTCACTGCTGGTGTTGTATAGCTAAGACATATAATGCCCCATCCCCACTCCAAGTGGGTGTGCTGCAGCATGATTCTCCCATTTCCAGGATCACCGTCAGCCTCCACAAGTTTAACGGCTCAGCCCTTATTTCAGACATCAGTCTTAGAGCCTCCTCCATTTCTGACCAATTAGCTATAAATTTGGGGATTTCCAAGAACCCCCTCAGGTGGGGTAATTCTCTAGAACAATTTACAGAGCTCACTGAAAGTGCTATCATCACAGTTACACATTTATTACAAAGGCTATACACAGAGTGAGGTTTGGAAAGGCCCCGGATGCAAGCTCTGTGCATCCTCCCCGTGGAATCATGGTGTGAACCCTCCTACACATCCCTGTGCTCACAGCTAGGAAGTTCTTGCAGGCCTCAGTGCCCAGGGTTTTCACAGGGTTTCATGACATGTGTGATTCAACTCAATCTCCAAGTGCCACCACCCTAATTAAGCCTTGACTGGTCTTTTTAGTGCCTGCCTGGATGCTAGGGCCCACAACGAGTCACCTGGTTAGCATAACAAAGACACTCTTATCACTCAGGAATCTCCAGGGGTTTTTGAACCTTTGTACCTGGAACCCAGGACAAAGACCAGATGTGTTTTTCATTATACCTCATGTATACAACTCACACCAGGTCTAC